GTTAATATACGAAACGGAGAAGAGATGTTATGTTTGTTATAAAATGGAGCTCATTGCAAAAGAGTGTAAGTCCATTACCAGCAAACAACAGCAGAAACCTCAACATAAAGCAGCTGGAGTCGTTTACAAAGACACTGCTGTTAAGAAACAAGAAGAGAGTGACCGGCATATGGATGCTGCTACCAGAAGAAAGAGAATCAAGACTACTTGTCAAATTCAAGAAAGTATGATTGATCAGTGCACGACTAATGGTCAGCTAAAGTTAGCAAATGGATTAACAGTGCCAATAGTGATAGGAGCTTGTGGCAAATATCAAGAGGTGCCAACAAATCATAATATGCTAATATGTGAAGGCTATGTCGGAGACAAGGAAGTGAAGGTTCTACCAGACACTTGGTGCCGTAGTGCAGCAGCGAGAACCAGTCTATTATCAGATGACAGGCAAGGTACGCTTGTGTGTGCTAATTGATGGGACAGTAAAAAAGTTTCCCATAGCCAAAATAAAGGTGGATATTCCATATTATGTAGGGGACCTTGAGGCCATGTGTATCAAGGAACCAATACACGACTTGGTGATAGGAAATATACCAAGTAGTAAAAATTTGAAGGAAGTGTAGAAGAAAGGCTCTTCACTACAGAAACTTCGGGGCAGTGCCCGAGAGAAAGAGGAACAAGATCTACTGTGCCAGTATACAGAGAGATCAGGAAAGACGGATCTCAGGACGTACAAGATCAGGATGAAGTCAAGTTATCCTGTCAAGGAGAAGCCCTACTGGAGACCCTATGCTAGGAGAGACAGGCAAAGGAACTGTAAATTTTAGTTTAGACTATATGAGAAGACTTAGTATGTGAGCTGAAAACAGTCTTTGAATATAGTGAAAAAAAATTAAATATTTCTCTTGAATAGGGCTTACGTCAGATTTAAAATACTGTTTAGTATAGGTAGTATTAATTAATTTATTTTGTGAGTTAATATTTCATGATTGTTTCGTTTTTTTTTTCATAATAAGAGAGTTAAAAGCAGACGATTGTTGGAAGTTGTGTTTGTAAGTTATTGATGTCGAGGCTACGGAAATTTGTAGAACGCCTCAGTGAGAGACATGTATAAATAGCTGGCGAGCACACGAGAAAATATATTGCAGAAAGAGAGCCAAAGTAAAGCGTATGAAAGAGAGTTTCGGTTATAAAAAGGTAAAGTTAACAGTCGTATGAGTGAATAGCCTAACGGTTGATATGTTAAAGTGAGATTAACAGTTTTCTGACATTTTAGGAGAATAATTTGTCTCGTGAAAGGGTGTTCTAGAGCACTGAACCTGCCTGTGCGGACTTTGACAAAAAGCAGACAATTATTTGGAATTAGACCAATATGCGAAAAACAGGAATAAGTGAATTATACACAGATAGTGTTTAAGATAAAAACAGAGAAAGATAGTTGGGCTTGTCAACTGAATTCTAAAACAATTGAATAGGCCTAAGTGGACTTTTGACAACAAGAAGAGGACTGTATAGTATATAAGATACAACTATGACATACAGAATTTTTGTACGTACGTTTAATTGTTTTGAATATATTATTTTAAAACAAGCGAAGTGAGTGCTACTCATTTATCGTCAAATTTCTGGCCAAGAAGTCACAGACACCTACTGTTGAAGAATCCCAACACATACCCGTATATTTACTTAAAACATGTTACTAAAATAATATAGTCTAAACAGTATTCGTTCTTCATAAGTAATTATTGTAGTTCTAAAACAGTAACTGGTCTTGACTAGTGAGTTTTAGTGGTTTTACAACAATGTTCTTCACCAGTAATTATTGTAATTTTAAAACAATAATTGTTCTTGACTAGTGAGTTTTAGTGGTTTTACAACAATATTCTTCACCAGTAATTATTGTAATTTTAAAACAATAATTGTTCTTGACTAGTGAGTTTTAGTGGTTTTACAACAATATTCTTCACCAGTAATTATTGTAATTTTAAAACAATAATTGTTCTTGACTAGTGAGTTTTAGTTTGTGGTTTTACAACAATATTTGTTCTTCAATAGTAACGAATTAGTTTCTATAAATTAATGAAAAGTGTTAGTGAAAATTTAAACTGTTTGAAATAATAGTAATAGATTTATGTAATATTTGTAGAGCCTATTTCGAACCAACGCCGTATATATACAGTGGAAGTTTTACACGTTTCTGAGTTAGCTTCGATAAACGGATTTCGTTGGCTTGATTTGAATAACGACCAAAAGATATCGGAGGAAGAGGTAGCCTGTATCGTATTCTTTATTGTATTTCAGTTACGTCATAACAGGAGTATTTAATTATGGTACAAATAGGAGTTATGTTCAGTAATCACGTGGTCTAGTGTAATGGTAAATAGATAAATTCAGTGAATGAATTATTGTTTAACGTTCAGGTATAAAAAGTTTTATTTTTCACAGTGATATGAATGATTAGAATGTGATAATTGGTTTATCATAGAAACAGTTAGAGTGTGTAAGTAATCACACACATATTCTTACGTTAAAGTGTGTATATAAACTGATTGAAGTACTTGAAACTACAGCGATCTTAAGATAACATAAAAACAGACTTATTATTCCCTAGGCTGCCACTCTGGTCGGGATGTTGTCTAAGTCAACCTTGCCGCTTTTCCCGATAAATGAAAAAGCCCTTTTAGAAATATACATGAAAATCCACGATTTGGACAGCGACACCTTTATATCAGAAGAGGAATATATTAAATCTGTTGAAGCTGCTAAAGAGGCTAAAGATCAAATGAATTTACAAAACCTACCACCGGAAATTGAAAAGAAAATTAAAGCAGAGCTATAACATTTAATCGTTTCTGTTTGTATCTGGGGCTTACGAACCATAAACTTACAAGGACTTTACACAGTTCACTCCATGTGGTTGCAAGGTGTAATTGTTACGTTTGTGGAAGTTAACTCATCTTATGTTATTTTCAGAACTGTAACAATAAATTAACACCTACTTGTTTTATGAAAATTCGTAACCTGATCTGGAAAACAGTGGCTGATTTTACGCGATTGCAGTAATGCCCCTGGATAGAGGCTCGTGCAGAGGGTTGAACTCCAAGTTTCATTCTCTATTAGCGGAATGAACAGCTTTAGCTTGGAGCTTCTGTAGAAGCCACAACTCCAAGAGTTTTATTCTGTGTTAGCTAAACTTCACTGATATCTTAAAACCGGACGTTGTTTCGAAAATCACACGATTTTTATAATTCTTATGTTGTATTTTTATCATGTTTTTATAATTCTTATGTTGTATTTTTATCGAGTTTTTATAATTCTTATGTATTTTTTCGTGTTTTTATAATTCTTATGTTGTATTTTATTATGATTTTGTAATTCTTATGTTGTATTTTTATTATGATTTTATAATTCTTATGTTGTATTTTTATCGTGATTTTGTAATTCTTATGTTGTATTTTTATTATGATTTTATAATTCTTATGTTGTATTTTTATCGTG